TTGGTATATTGGAGGGAAGGAAGACAACCAATCTTTGTAGAATTTGAGGTATCAAAACGTCTAGAGATAAGTCGGTATAGTAACTTCCTTTACACAACAATATTAGGTTCGAGTTGGCTCAAATAGCACACTCAATTACCTTTTCTGTTGCATTGCTATTTACAATTATATCAAATATTTGGGAGGTAGGTACAGACTTATCCAACATTAATTAGTTAATTACATGCATTTCAAGACATCGAATATCCAAAATGCTGATTAAAGTAGGGTTACCTTCTTGATACAAAACAATAAATGTAAATGGTCACGTGAAATTGAAAATACTTATATGTGTTTGTACTAAGCAGCATCACATGTGTTAGAAAATTTGTTCCAGGTCATGGAAATCAATGTACATTTCATTAACGCCTTTACATCATGGTGTAATATTTGTGAATGTGAAATCATATCATATTCTTTACACTGTTTTCCACGTATTGAATGAAATATCATAGTACCATAACAACCACATGAAGATAGATTCACGTTCAAATAGTTACCAGCGACTTCTATTAGACTCTCTGGCTTGTTACTGGCAGCAATCGTGGTTGAACGCATATGTGACTACATGAGGTGGAGCTCAAAGAAAATTGAACTTATCAGATATAAAAGAAAGTTTATATACATATCTTGATTGACGGCGTATATTTCATTAAAGCGAAGCAGTAGATGTTTTTGAAGGTTTAGAGGTCTGGACTTTGTCTATCGACTAAGTTATGTGGTAGGAAATGGTAGATATCACTGTGATTTATATTTCTGACTTCTTCGTAGCATTTCACACCGTAAACATCAACTTTAATTTATTAAAATACTCAAAGCAATGTATTTATATTAATGTACTCTCGTGGTAGAAGTAACAGCTGTCAGAAAACCCGTAAATAAAACAACATGTTATCAAAAGCACGCCATTGAAAATACCTTTATGTCCTGGTTGAATGAATGAAAACATTACTAATACATAAACGTAAATGAAAAACTTGAAAACAAAAAACTGATAAAGACGTAGGTAGGCTCGGGACAGTGATAGGGCGTCGGTGCTGACAGAGGGACGAGACGCTGTCGTCACGCCCTCCCAGCATCAGCCTGCTATCGGAACGTACATGCCATATCGCCAGTGTATCTATAGGTTTCATCAGAAGACTTGCAACAGGTGACAAGCTGATTTGACGAAAAAGCAAAGGAAGTGACAAAGTGAGCAGTTTTACAGTCGTAGTACTGTGTATTTAGATCCATATGACTGTATTATGAGAAACGAGAGAAATGTAAACTGACATGACTGGGTGTCGTTTCTCTTCCTGGTTGTATATGTATTACATGTTTGTGAAATGGGCAGAGACAAAAGATGAGGGTGTAATTGTAACTGTGAATTATTTTTATTATTAATGAGTATTCATGTGTAAATGAACTTGTACGAAAACAAAAACACTTTAAATGATAATTTTGTTGATAGTTATACATTCATGTTGACACACTTGCACGGTAAAGAAGTTTGTCATGAATTTATTGCTGCATTATGGAAAAATGAAAAACCATTTCATATCGATCAGTTGCTGTTTTCGTTCATTTAAAACAGTAAAGATGATGACCAGCCGAATATACTCACAACATTTAGCCTAACTTTAAGGTTTTTGACAACAGATTGTATGATGTTTTCTCCAATATGTTTTTTTCTGAAAATGTAACATTGAGATTGCTTTAGATTTACACTGTTAGTTCCGATAGCACCTTATATTGCTTTTCAAACATAAATTTAATTAGCGCTTATTTAGGTCGTATTCTGAAAGCTCGTATTTAATCTCTGAAAAAAGGTACATTTTGCACAGATGCAAAACCAGTAATTTATCAAATAGTTTCAAAATCACTATCACAAAGTTGAAACAGTTGGTAGATTAATTAGTGTGGGTTATATTTTTTGCCTGTGCTAACTCCGGTTCTATCATTATCAGAGTCGCCGTGCTTATCTGCGTGTCTTTCACCAGAGGACGTCGTAGTGTCGACAGACTGGATGATAGCATCCAATAATAAAACACCCCCACGCAAAAAAGTACCAGGTCAGTTTACAGACCTATTCATGTCATAGAGACCTGATTACATCTTAAAACATATATTTTGATATGTATATATTGATTTCGTGTTAAGGTTTACGGTGTATATCTATGAAACATTGCATAAATAAGAAGGTTATACTTCCGAATTACTTATTTGTTGTCGTCTTATTTCATAAAGTTTCTGTAACATTCTTTCCTCATACATACACGTGCGTGTATTTCAACAATTTAGAGACGGAATTCGGTTTTATTTACGCTTAGGTATTCCTATATTGCTGTTTTTATTTATGCTACACAGTTGACAAAAAATAGAACCTGCTTTCATATTGAGATCAAATAATCTGAAAAAACATGAAAACGATGATGATATATTTTCACTTATTTACACTTAACATTTTACAGTGCCCGGGAAGGGACCTCAGGAAAAAAATGTTAATCCGAAGTCTCGGTTTAGCAATTCGTGGCAATCCGTGGTCTCGGTTTAGCAATCCGTGGTCTCGGTTTAGCAATTCGTGGCCTCGGGTTAGCAATCCGTGGTCTCGGTATAAGTAATCCGCGACCTCAGTTTAAGTAATCCGCGACCTCAGTTTAAGTAATCCGTGGCCTCAGTTTAAGTAATCCGTGGTCTCGGTTAAAATAATCCGTGGTCTCGGTTTAAATACACCCTTCATTAAACAACTATACCATTTATAAATACGTAGTCGGGGACCACAAAGGATTGTGGCACGGCCGGGAAGAAACCGAGGTAAGCTGAAAGAGTTTATTTTTTCTCATTTAGACTAATATTTGAACTAATTACTCTTTTGTTGTTGTTGTGTTAGATGTGTAAACCGAGACCACGAATTACTAAACCGAGGCCACGGATTACTAAAGAAAAAAAACACTGTGATGTCCTTCTGGGGCTCCGTAACATTTTGTGAAACATAAAGTGCTATTTAATTTTTTTACAACTGGTATCGTTTATTGTACAGTACATGAACTATAGAAATGCTTGAATATGGGACACCTCGCGCTGAATACGTTTGAAGAGCTTCCACTTAATCGATAAACATCCAGAAATATGCGTCCCACTGAGTAATTATTTGAGAGTTTGTCATCTAGCACTGTTTAGCCCTCAATAATAACAAAGGGTAAATAACAGGTTAGACAATGCAAATTATAAATTTTAATGTTTTTAATGACTGGCCTGATCGCATTAGTAGCAGGAAAATCCAGTACCGGAGCGAAGTGTGTATGAGGACTGATAGATGATTCTGCTTCTATGATATTTTATCAAATATTATTACATCGAGATAAAGGATGCATCACAAAAATACCTTGTTTACATCAGCAATCAATGATCTTCTTGTACACCGATAAAATATCAACCAAAACCATCAGCGTAACAGTTGAAATTCTCTTCAGATAAAGTATCCACAATAACTACACGTGATGGACAAGTAAAACTATGTACATTTTGATCCTATTTAGTGTTAGTTCGTACAGGCAAGTTCACACGGTCTTACCTTAAAGTGCGATATAGTGCGGTATTGTAACTTATTTATAAGAAATCAGACAAAAAGGGTCACTTATCAAACAAGATTTTAATCAGTTTAGCCTCGGGCCATTTGTTCAGAATAGCTTGAATATAAACATACCAGCATATAGACCAGGTGATTTTATGTCATGTGTTCAGTCTAGACAGTTGATTTGTCATAAAATGAAGAAACACCGCAGAATAAGGTACCAAACGGTTTTCGGAACGTGGTGAGTATCTCTTTATATATATATATCAAAGGTTAATTTAAGCATTGTAAATAAAACAAGGTGTGATAGTTTAAGATGATACTCATAGAATTATTCGTAAGATCGGTTACAAATTAATCATTCTTGTATTGCTAATATCATTATTGTCAAATTGAATTTGGCTAGAAACATGAAAATTTATACATTAACTTTATTTTGATAACTGGCATGCGATTTGGTATAATAATAATAATAACAACAATGATAATAATTTCATAATTATCACATGTTCCACGTTCAATAATACATATAATTTATATAGATAATATATATTAGAGAGCAAAACAACTATATGTATTATTGAAAGAAGAACATATGATAATTATGAAATTAAAATACAGGGAGTATTTGTATTTTCTTGGTCCGTGTTTATCGTATAAAACTGACGATAAGTTATTATGATAAACATGCTTCCCAGGTTATCTCAAGCAATCATTAAGACAAACGTGAAAATTTTAACACGATCCTCATTTTCCACAGTAGTACATAACCTATTAATTTTTAAGAAACGTTTCATGACGCTGTATAACTCTAGTTTATATATACAAGACCTGACAGATTTTAATGGGGTAAAAGAATTTTCATAAATATAAATAGAATATGAACACCTGACATGTCTGTTTTTATTTACAAAATCTCTTCCCCAGAAACGGTTAACTGTGGTAGGTAAAACTATAAAACCTACGTCAGCATCAATAAAGAAGAACGTATTCATGCTTTCAAAGTATTAAATGAGAATAAAGTGCTTTCTACATATAGGGAATTCCATCCTATATTTACGCTGAATGACATCACTGACAAATCTTTCCCTTGTTTTGCAGTGTGATAATTGGATTCCTTCTATATAGCTTTCTCTATCAAGAAGGCAATTGGAGTGCAAAACGAGGAAAAAATATCACATCCAAACAAAGATATAAGGGATTATACGTCAAAGTCATCGATAAAAATACACCTAATGAAAACTTTGATGTGATTAATAACCAGCTAAACAAAAGCAGTCCTGTAAGACACATCGCATATCTAAAGGTTCACAAAGCTGCAAGTGGCACAATGCAAACTTTGTTCCTCCGATTCGGCATTGAGAACGACTTAATTTTCGTTTTACCGTCTCACGGTACTGGATTAACCATGATGCGAGATCAACCAATTTCAGAAGTGGCTCTTCCACCACCAGCAAACAGGACGTATGACATTATATGTAGCCATATACCTTACAGCCGAAATGAATTCAAAAAGCATATGCCCTCAGATACAGTTTACATCGCTACAGTTCGGGATCCTTTCCGACAATTTATCTCTTGTGTTCATTTCTACCACAGAGCATTTATGTTAAATATCACACATCACAAACCAATACTTACATTTTTGCAGGATCCGAACAAGTACAAACAGATAATACGAAAGAGTGGTCGGGTGTCAAATTTGTATAATTCCATGGCTTATGACTTTGGCTTTCCACCTTACCTATTTGTCAACCCGGATAAGGAGCGAATTCAAAAGTATATTGAGGAACTTGATCAACAATTTGATCTTGTTCTCATTGTTGAATATTTAGATGAAGGTTTGATTTTGATGAGGCGGCTACTGAACTGGGACATGAGGCATTTATTGTATGAATCTAGGCATGTACGAAAACATCCAGAACCGGCACTAGCAGTTGGCAAAGAGGAGGAAGATCTGTACAGGAAATGGTGTCTACTCGATTATGCATTGTTCGAATTTTTCAAAGCGAAATTTTTAAAGATTTGGGAAAATATGTTAGTAAACAGTGATGTTATGGCCGAATTGATTTATTTTCGGGAAATGAATGCGAAAGTTGACGAATTTTGTCATGCACAATTGTTATCTGAAAAATTGAAAATTGAACCTTCTCAGTGGCACAAGGGTTTCTACATAGATAACCAGTATTGTGAATCCCGTCTGCTTGCAGAAAAGAAACAAATTGATTATCTCAGAGAAAAACATTTTTCTTCAGTTAACAATAGCAACTAATCATGAAAGCATCAAACATATGATTATAGTTCATTGCTTTAACAATGTTACAATGTATCTGTTTTACTAGCCAGCATTCGATTGCTTAGTGCTCTTGTGGGCAAAGGAAAGTGAATACTGACACATCTCTTGAGCCAAATCTCCAGAAAGAGAACTATAAAGTTCACTTTTCAGCATAAAGAATCAACAGTTTTCTTAAGAAAAGGTGAACAATTTACATACTTAAAGAAGCCTATCAGCAAACGACTGAGTGGACCTATAAATGAATATACTATAAAGACAGTTGTCAATGAGATACCTTTCCACGTGATGTCACTTTCTAGCTACTAGTAGGTACAGTGTTAGATATTTTAACTAGACTCGACATGACGACCGTCGTATCTTTAATGTGCAATTCGTTCTTTCAATTTGGCATAGGTGATGGTCGGATACTCTTAATTACTCTACAAACCAAGACATATGTATACTGCAGTGTATGTAAGACGTATGCGTTTATTTTATGATGACTCTACTGTAAATATCTTGATTAAATTATAAACAGAATTGAATAATTTTAAAATGGTATAACACCATCAAAAGCCAAGTGAGTATGTGGTAGCCAAGTTAATGTGAATACCTATCCGTATTTCCATTTCGTTTTATTATGTCCGTTATTTGAAGATATTTAAATAATAGCCACTATTAAAAATTATTGTGACCGTGTCGTATATCAGCACCGATATATTAGTATATATTTCCCTCCAGGGGGAAGACGTGGTGGTTGAGATTGACGAAATAAGGAAAATACATAATATAGTTAAACATTCTTTTCCCTGGTATATTTACTACGACGAACAAGTCAATATTTAGATTTGGTGTTTAGTGGCAATTTATAACATCACACAACTATTCCAGATTGGAGAAACATTAATTCTAAACAGCTGAATCCAGTTTCATTTTATATATTTAAAATGGTCAAAATTTAACTATTAGATATGTGGCCCTAATGACTTTTTATGTGTTGACGGGCTGTTAATAATAATACATATTAGATATATAAAAGATTAAACGTGTAAAATGCATTACATTTATCATTTTTAATAATAGAGAGGAATTCGGTTTAACTGATATCTTCATATTATAAGTTTTCCTATATATGTAAAAAAAAACTGAAGTTGTCTTTGCGACGAAGTCACGTCAACCGAAATGACTGTATATAACGTTGGAAATGTATATATTGTATCAACGGTTTTTAATGCGCGAGACTATTAATTACATTGTTTAATAAAAACATGGACATTTCAGCCAACGTATAAGAGTCGTTATCACTGCGATCTAAAGGTGCTACATTTATAGATACAATGTAGTATGTGGTTTTATAAAGAAGCCGCTAGCTATTTAAAGCCTGACCAGTATTAATGGAACGTGATAAGTGTCCGTACACGTCAGTTACTGTAACGTACATGTAATACAAAGGAATAGAGATGTACAGAAAGACTCTAACAATCTGGTGAGTTCTTGTTTAGTCTAATTTTGCTTTATGCCCTGTCGCATATCAACCTTACGTTGAAGGTATTTTTTAGTTTTTCAAAATTACTAAATTTTCAACCTAATGACTTTAGTTTTCAATCTGCCAGGGGAACACCTGTAATGTCCTACTGTTACATGCGGTTTAATGTCTACCTATATTAGTGCATGTGCGGTGTCATAAATTGACATATTTCATCATTATACACCATGAAAGACTATCAACTGCCAAAGCATTCAGCATCGCAGCACTTTACCAAACGTAAACATATATTTTTTTTGTCTTTCTGTGTCTTTCTCTACGGAATCTGAATTTTAAAAGTATTTTTTCCCCATTGTTCTGCTAATTGCTAATTTTTTTTCCATTGTTCTGCTAATTGCTAATCTGTTCTCAAATGGTATTCATTAAGTAAGAATTGTATTGCTGTCAAAAGGATGTGTACCGTAACCAAGTACAATAAGACGACGTAGGTATACAGGACCAATGTGTTGCATGTTCACATCACTTATTATATTTCATTTTTACAGTAGACAATATGTATTTACTGTCAGAATATGATTTTTACGTTGAACAGCTACACCATGTTTAACCTCGGTAAGAAAGTTTATCGTTCAATGCTTGTTCTAGCAACACGATATTTTTCTTGTAACATTGGTGTGTATACGTCAACTTCCAGTAACGAATTTTATGTTAAGGCGAAGAACTTGTCTTCAATGGATGCAATCTCAGTCTATTAAAACTTGTTTGCTAAAATCGACTACACAGGAAAAAGATAAGGTAATGCTCGAATCGTTGAGTAGCACAAAGCTGTTTCATATTTGCCGCCATGATTGCTTGTTAACAGAGTTGTCTCAGTGAAATGTCACAAATCGCCTTCACTTCAAAAGAGTTCCTTATTGTGAAAACTCCTAAAGGAATTTTTATGAATGATTACAGAAGATACTCATTACGATAGATTAACTGAGTCATATTCATCCACGAAATCAAGTGCTCATGAAATATTGATACTTTGATAAACCATGAAAAATGTAACCCACGAAAACATGTGATTTTACAGTATGACTTAGCTTTTGACAATCCTTTCGAACAAAGTCGATTTTCTCAGTCGCTTTCTAAGTTTTATCTATTTAGGCTATACGGAGTCCAAAAAGGACGAATTTGTTGTATCATATATGTTTTCAATTTATCTTCTTATTTGGCTTCTCTGTGTCTAATGTAAAAAATGCAAATTATTTTTCTCGTGTGTAATTCTACGAATGTTTCAATGCACTACCGGAGGATGAGTGTATGTTTTTGTCCTAAATTCACATTGTGTAACGAAATTGAGGAAATTTTTCATTTGTATTTCAGTGTACTTTTCTTGGTGATGATTGTGTGTATTATATTCTGGCACAACAGCCGGACAGTATCAGAGAATGTAAATACCCCAGACAATGCTATCAGGATAAAACAAGCAAATGGAAAGAAGAGCGGTACATCACGGCAAACATCCAATGGGTCATTGGTAAATGGGGCAATGATGAATTCACGCAATCGAGGAACTGAAAGTAATAGAGAACATTTGTACAACTTTAGTAATCCTGTGAAACACATAGCTTTTCTAAAGGTTCACAAAGTTGCTAGTGGCACAATGCAGAATCTTTTCCTTCGTTTCGGTATTGAGCATGACTTAGTGTTCGTTTTACCGAAATCTGGTATCTCATTACCCATGCAGCCAGGGAAATCCATTTCGTCGGTGGCTATTCCACCACCAGCACACAGGACGTATGACGTACTATGTAGTCATGTACGCTACAATCGGAGTGATTTCCAAAAGACTCTGCCTTCGGATTCTGTTTACATCGCTACAGTCAGGGATCCTTTCAGACAGTTCATATCGTCCATTCATTATTACCATAGGAAATTCATGTTGAAGATCTCAAAGCAAAAACCAATTCTTAAATTTCTTCAAGAGCCAAATAAGTACACCCGCATTATACCAGAGAACGGCCGAGTGTCTAATTTTTTTAATTCAATGGCTTGGGATTTTGGCTTCCCATTAGATCTCTTTGTTCTCCCAGATAAAGCACAGATTCAAGAATATATCAGCCAACTTGATAAAGATTTCGACCTCGTCATCATAGTCGAATATTTTGATGAAAGTTTGGTTTTAATGAGAAGACTACTGAACTGGGACATGAGGAATATATTGTACATATCAAGTCATGTACAAAAGAGACACGAACCTGCATTTGCTGTGGGTGAAGAAGAGGAAAATCTTTACCGGAAATGGTGTCTTCTAGATTATGCGTTGTTTGATTTTTTCAAAAGTAAATTTTTGAGGCATTGGGAAAGCATTTTAACTAACAGTGATGTTTTAGAAGAATTAAGATATTTCCGTGATATGAAGTCGAAAGTTGACAAGTATTGTCGAGAACACAAGGCAGAATCGTCATTTTATATCAAACCGTGCAAGTGGCATGCAGGTTTCCTGGTTGACAAACAGTATTGCAATGACCGTCTATTCACCGAAATTCAGCAGGTCCGTAAACTCCAGAGAAAACAAACATTGGCCATTCGGCGCGGCACTTAACATACCGGTGAAAGGACTGAATCAGAAGTTGTGTAGAAATGTCTGGCAATAATAGATTTTCCTATCAATAACACTAAAATTGATAACATTTTTGAATAATAAAATTGACTTCAAATATATCAAGTTTGTCATTTAGATGAGATAATTACTGGAAAGTATAATATTGTTATAGAAAGTTCACCAATGAATCAGTAAATATTTAGATATTGTGAACTCAGTATAAAGTAACCATTAGATGTAACTTAATGTACCAGTCTCCAATAGGTTCACAATAAATCTGTAAATATTTAGATATTGTGAACTCAGTATAAAGTAACCATCAGATGTAACTTAATGTACCAGTCTTCACAATAGGTTCACAATAAATCTGTAAATATTTAGAATTTTTACATCTTTTTCATTTTATGAAACTCGACACAAGTTTTAGGGCATTAAAGCAATCATAAGCCAAGTGAGAATATGAAGAGTGTAATAAGAATATGACGTCATGTTATTGTATCCGGAGTAGATAAAGTACGCCAATTATCGACTCTATACAAGGTAAACTGCGCAGTAATGTATACAAACTTGTTACTACTAAAAGATATGTATCACTAATTATATAACGAATGAGTCGTTTGTGTAGTAACGATTTTAAAAGAGTTCCACTATATCAAATGTACTGTATCAAATCTATTCACTAACAACAATGCACTTTCAATGATATTTATGTGTCAGTGATGTGTGGATTCTCGGTGACAATGACATTTAGATGTACGTGACAAAAATCACGATATTTCTGTTACAAGTAATGTTCGCGAGTCAGAGCGGTTCAATAGGAGTGTTACATGAATATACGAGGGGGAATAACTCCCACAACAATATTTAAATTCCGATAGCCCAAAGCTTGTTGAAAGAGATCATGGCTGTGATAATGGTTGTCTACCTTAGGGATTGTGCCAAAAACCATACCATGCACTTTATTACATACATGTAATGGCATGAAGCAGGAAGATATCTCCCGCCCTCCTCCCCTTACCCCCTACAAAAATTATTTTCAACACCGAACTGTCGTTTACATTTAAAAGAAATTTCTTGCAGGTTATGTTAGTAAACTATAAATATATGATGTCTGTATGAATGGTATAAATTCAACACAGGTCTTTTCACTGGACACAGATTTGAACTTAGTCTCCTTCCTACTACCTATAGTTCAGTATAGTATAATAATTTTATCAGTAAACCTAAACCATCGAAATGTTAAAAAGGTCACTTCGCCTTGTCACCTTGGCATCTCGGTATACGCTACAGTATCTAGGCGACAACTCAACCATCGACAACTTAATAGTAGTCATGTACCCTACCGATTGTCTTTCTGTCGCGTTGGGAGATTACATTTTGTCGCACTGTGGTGTTGGCTGTAGTTATCAACCACCATATATTACTGTGTCACCAGGAAAGAATCTAACGCTACCGTGTCACTCTGATATAACCTTACATTAGTGTGTGTTATAATGTGACCAGTGAAGAGTCACGCTACCATGTCACTGTGGTATAACCTTACATTAGTGTGTGTTATAATGTGACCAGTGAAGAGTCACGCTACCGTGTCATTGTGATATAACCTTACGTTAGTTTATAATGTGAACAGTGAAGAGTCACGCTACCTTGTCACTGTGATATAACCTTATGTTAGTCTGTGTTATAATGTGACCAGTGAACAGTCACGCTACCGTGTCATTGTGATATAACCTTACGTTAGTCTGTGTTATAATGTGGCCAGTGAAGATTCACGCTACCGTGTCACTGTGATATAACCTTACGTTAGTGTGTTATAATGTGAACAGTGAAGAGTCACGCTACCTTGTCACTGTGATATAACCTTATGTTAGTGTGTGTTATAATATGACCAGTGATATAACCTTACGTTAAAAGGTGTGTGTTATACCGTGTCAAGATCACGCTACCGTGTCATTGTGATATAACCTTACGTTAGTTTATAATGTGAACAGTGAAGAGTCACGCTACCTTGTCACTGTGATATAACCTTATGTTAGTCTGTGTTATAATGTGACCAGTGAACAGTCACACTACCGTGTCACTCTGATATAACCTTACGTTAGTGTGTGTTATAATGTGGCCAGTGAAGATTAACGCTACCGTGTCATTGTGATATAACCTTACGTTAGTCTGTGTTATAATGTGACCAGTGAAGAGTCACGCTACCGTGTCACTGTGATATAACCTTACGTTAGTGTGTTATAATGTGAACAGTGAAGAGTCACGCTACCGTGTCACTGTGATATAACCTTACGTTAGTGTGTTATAATGTGACCAGTGAAGAGTCACGCTACCGTGTCACTGTGATATAACCTTACGTTAGTGTGTTATAATGTGAACAGTGAAGAGTCACGCTACCTTGTCACTGTGATATAACCTTATGTTAGTGTGTGTTATAATGTGACCAGTGAACAGTCACACTACCGTGTCATTGTGATATAACCTTACGTTAGTGTGTTATAATGTGACCAGTGAAGAGTCACGCTACCGTGTCACTGTGATATAACCTTACGTTAGTGTGTTATAGTGTGACCAGTGAAGATTTACGCTACCGTGTCATTGTGATATAACCTTATGTTAGTGTGTTATAGTGTGACCAGTGAAGATTTACGCTACCGTGTCACTGTGATATAACCTTACGTTAGTCTGTGTTATAATGTGACCAGTGAAGAGTCACGCTACCGTGTGACTGTGATATAACCTTACGTTAGTGTGTGTTATAATGTGACCAGTGAACAGTCACGCTACCGTGTCACTGTGATATAACCTTACGTTAGTGTGTGTTATAATGTGACCAGTGAAGAGTCAAGCTACCGTGTCACTGTGATATAACCTTATGTTAGTGTGTGTTATAATATGACCAGTTAACAATCACGCTACCGTGTGACTGTGATATAACCTTATGTTAGTGTGCGTTATAATGTGACCAGTGAACAGTCACGCTACCGTGTCACTGTGATATAACCTTACGTTAGTGTGTTATAATGTGACCAGTGAACAGCCACGCTACCGTGTCACTGTGCCATAACCTTACGTTAGTCTGTGTTAATCTAGTGCTAGTTTATAAAAGATAGAAAATAGTCTTTAATTACCATAATCTTAGCATCCAGGAAATGGTTGTGTAAAGTAACAGCTTTGTTACTATTATATCTCGACGCATATACCGTAATAGCATTTTAATGACGGAGCGCGTGGCATTTTTTTGTAAAAAGACAGGGTTTGAGACAGGTTTTTCATACCCTGATATATAGAATTGCCCAAACAATACTTAACACAGGATCGTGAAATTTTGTTACGACCAAGGTTACCTAGTTTGTGTAAGGTATAGGAATGCGCCTGCGCTCACTATGCTAGTGTGACGTCAACAGACTAAATTTTAATTCCTCGAAATTTTTTAAACACTGAAATGGTGAGTCAGGAAGCTGGAGTGATGTCTGTGCAATGAACATTAATTCTACGTTGGTTTACAAACACAAAACGAATTGAATAAAATGAAGAAAAATGATCTCTCCTACAGAGATCAGGAAAGTGATTTTGATCTTGATTGTTTACTCTCTTTTTTATTATTTATTTATTTATTTGTTGTTTGCTTGTTTCTTTTTGTATGTTTTCTTGTTTCGTTTAACCAGTACTATTTTTTTCTATAAAGTTAGTGAAGGTCATTTTTCAACAGTGCAATCTTTCCGTCATTCTGCATTTCATGAACACTGATCAGATATCAGATCACTGTGGTAAGAACTAGGATGGGTAAAAATTCAGTGATTATTCACAGAAGGTCAGGACAGGTAGTGTAGGGTATTTAAGGAATCATGATCTTGTTGAGTCAAGAACACTGAAGAACACGTTCCAGTCACACCTACTCTTTCTGGAACACGAGTTACAGGGATATCTAACACGAGTTACAGGGATGTCTAACACGAGTTACATGGATATCTAACTCAAGTTACAGGGACATCTAATACGAGTTACAGGGATGTCTAACACGAGTTATTGGGATGTCTAACACGAGTTACAGGGATATCTTACACGTGTTACAGGGATATCTAACACGAGTTACAGGGATGTCTAACTCGAGTTACAGGGATATCTAACTTGAGTTACAGGGATGTCTAACACGAGTTAGTTACAGGGATATCTAACACGAGTTACAGGGATATCTAACAGGAGTTACAGGGATATCTAACTTGAGTTACAGGGATGTCTAACACGAGTTACAGAGATATCTTACACGAGTTATAGGGATATCTAACACGAGTTACATGGATATCTAACTCGATTTACAGGGATATCTAACTTGAGTTACAGGGATGTCTAACACGAGTTAATTACATGGATATCTAACAGGAGTTACAGGGATGTCTAACAAGAATTAAAGGGATATCTAACAGGAGTTACAGGGATATCTAACACGAGTTACAGGGATGTCTAACACGTGTTACAGGGATATCTAACACGAGTTACAGGGATGTCTAACACGTGTTACAGGGATATCTAACACGAGTTACAGGGATGTCTAACACGAGTTACAGGGATATCTAACACGAGTTACAGGGATGTCTAACACGAGTTACAGGGATATCTAACACGAGTTACAGGGATATCTAACACGAGTTACAGAGATATCTTACACGAGTTACAGGGATATCTAACACGAGTTACATGGATATCTAACTCGAGTTACAGGGATATCTAACTTGAGTTACAGGGATGTCTAACACGAGTTAATTACATGGATATCTAACAGGAGTTACAGGGATGTCTAACAGGAATTAAAGGGATATCTAACACGAGTTACAGGGATATCTAACACGAGTTACAGGGATGTCTAACACGAGTTAATTACAGGGATATCTAACACGAGTTACAGTGATATCTAACACGAGTTACAGGGATGTCTAACACGAGTTAGTTACAGGGATATCTAACACGAGTTACAGGGATATCAAACACGAGTTACAGTA